CTGGTGCCAAAGGCATTCTCTGGGGCCAGCGTGTGCTGAGCGCGCCCAGAGGGAAGCGGTAGTAAACAAGCTGTTTTACATTCAGGACAGTCCCTCTCATCTCCAAGTGTGTAATTGTGTTCTGGATAAATTATGGAAATAAAAAAACAGCAGTTGCTAGAGGGAAATAACCCTCTTTAAAAACAAGTAAATTTTCCAAGGCAGAGCGGACAGAACCCTGACCACAGACCCAGTGTCGGCCGGTGGGAAAGTACACGCTGTGTGGGCTGGAGAAGGGGGCAGAACCGAGTTCAGACGCGCGCTTGGCCGCTCGGCCGAATCATGTTAGGCCACTTCGGAAAACAGCTGTCTCGGGTGGTTGGTCTTTAAAGTGGGGACGCCGAGAACTGCAGGAGTTGGAGAGGGAAGACTGCAAAGCGGCAGGCCCGGCCTCCCCTGGACAGAGCTGGCTCCCTCCCCGCCTCCCAGGGCAGGAGAATGCCCTTTGTCATTTGGCCCCCACCCCCTGCAGGTGGTCATTTTGTTGATGGAATAGGTCCCCATCAATGCCAGAGTTCCGTGTAGTATCATTAAAATAGAGTTTGTAACAAAATGGTGTTTCAGGAAAAAACCCACGAGTTAAACCAGTTGAAGACTGAATGAATAGGAGGAGATGTACACCCCTAACCTGTCTCCAACCCTAACCAGCTCCGCGTGAACTAACTGGTCCTTCCTCATTGGTGAAGTAAATATTGCCTTTTTAAGATAATAAGCGTTCTCTTCCTTGCGATGAACGCCCAGCAACTTCAGGTTTACCGCGGCAGGCTTGCTGTGAGCCAGTGGGCTCTCCAGGGCCAGAGTCTTATTTTTAGAAATTGTGGGGCAAATAGGGAAGTTACAGGAAGGCTGATATAAATTAAAACCGTTGGACTCTGCATCCTCACCGTACCGTATACACCAGTCAGCAGTCAGAAATGTCTCTACGTGTCAGGTACTGCTCCGCCCCGAAAATAAATTACCTTGCTGTTAACAGTGTCATTTAATGGCTGCAGTAGATTGTCCCTACTTGCTTTCCTTTGCCCAGAACATGTGCTATTTCTGACTTGGCAGTGTATCTGCTAATTAAGTTTTAGAAAATCGGGAAGGGTTTTTAAACGGATTATTTAAGAAAAGCACCCAAGTTGCCTGTTTGTATCCTTCTGCTACACATCAACTTGTGTTTCGTAACAACCTAATTGTCATGATATCTATTTCAAGGGGAAGTTTATCAAGTACAGAGCGCCCTTCTATTTGGGAGAAATATTTGAGGATGTGAGCAGAAAGTATTTTTACATAAAGGCTTCAGGCAGTTAAGAGTACTGACACACATACATTTTCATCACTGCCATTCACTTCTTTCGCCTCAAATAAATAGGTCATCATTGCGTTTCAGCCAGCGTACGGCGCCTCGAAGCGTGGCGCTGTTTAATGCCACTGCTGTCCATCTGACCCGTGTCCTTTATTGGTGATTTTTATAGAATGACATCCTTGGGCCCACTGTCATCAGCCAGGGCCGTTGGATATCTTTCAGCAGAATACTTCGTTATCACTTACAATATTTTAGCATTAGTATTATAACCATGTTAACATAGCTAGGAATTGTCATTCGCTGAGACATGGGATTTCAGGTCAGCCTTCGAGATTCCAAAAAATAAAACAGTGATCGTGATGATGCCAACATTGATGGGCGGAGCACAGCGGGGTGAGCATTCGCAAGTGGCCAAAGCTTACACAGGTCTTTTATTACTTAATTATAAGTAATAATTAAGACTATTTAGACTTTTAAAGAAACAAACAGCAACCCCATGGATTTTATTTTATCAGCTTCAATGCTTAAAACACAAACTCATAGTCCATTCCTCTCTTACCTCCTGTGCAAATGTTGTATAGCCTGAATGTGGATAGAACGTGCTACTCAGAACATGTTCGGATTCCAAGTACAGACTAAACATACATGGTTATTTCCATAGGAAGTATTCTGCTGAGAACGTAATTGCAACTGGCTTCAAGTCACAGTAGGTGCAAGATCATGGTGTCTGTAAGGCCTTGGTTAGAGCAGAGATCAAGGCCTGTCACCCATGTTCTCTTACAAATGGAAGATTCGCATCTATGTTGCTAATAAGCTTCCTTCAGATCCAAGGAATCTCCCTCCCAGCCGGGTAGACCCAGTTTGGTATTCTGATCTCCGCCACGCAAGCCCCATGACTTATGACAGGTACAGCATTTGAATCGTGCAGTTTAATTTTTCCTTCATTTTCTTACTAGATCGGGTTGCCCCCAGGAAATAAGGGTATTGTTATTTCTGCACATACTTTTACCAGGGCCAGTCAAACACCTCGAAAAGCTTGCTTGATTGGCAGGAATTTCCTTTTCCTTGTTCTTTTCTCAAATCTGGGAATAAACCGCCCCGCTCCCCATCTGGTTCTGAATTGTGTTTGTCACGGGACTTGGCTGAGGAAGGAGAAGCATGCCCTCCTTTCTTCCGGATCTGCTTTTCGCCCGTGGTCAGGCTGTGATCCTGTTCAGCCCACTCGGCTTCCCCTGCAGATCAAGCTAGGACAGACTGGCCCTCTCACTGGTGCCAGCCCTGGGGCCCGCGCTCTCCCCCCAGGCTAATTCCCAGGATCAGAAACCTCCGGGCGGGTTTCATTCTGGTTTCTTCTCAAGCACCGAGAATTATTGTTAATCTGTGGCTCTAATAATTTTTTCCTTATCCTTCCAGTTTCTTCTTTTCTAATCCTCTATCAGAGACTGGTTTCTTTCGAGGTGGATTTGGCCGAAGGCCAGCTCAGGCACCCCTCCTCACACCCTCCCCCTGTGTCTTGCCAAAAAGGGTCCTTCAGCACAGCTCTGACAGCAGGTGGAAATCCTTCACTTACTCTAATTGCATCGTAACTGTGCTGTGTCGTTTTTTTTTAGAATAGTATTTATCTTTGACCTTTGTGTCTTAATGTGACCATTTTTTAAGGGAGTGAATAAGCTGTACTGAATTGATGTATAATTACATAGAGAGCTCCTGGAGAGCTGAGACAGCGAGCCTCATTCTTGTATCCACCCTGCTCCTAGCACATAGTAGTTGCTTAGTAAGTGTTTGGATTTCACATCCAGGGAAATGATGATGATGGTGATGATAGCAGCTACCATTTATCCAGTTTTGTGAGAAGCTAGACCCAGTGCTAAATGCTTTGTATTTATTTATATTAATCCTTCAACAGGTCTATGAGGTAGCTTTTAATTACCATCCCCACTGTGCTGAGAAACTGGCCAAGGTCTTTAAAAGATTTACCTGCGAGCACATAGGTCGAAAGCAATCTCTCTCCCCCTCTTCCTGACCATCCCTTACCCTGCACTGCATGGCTTGTTCTGTATGCAGGGATTCGGTAGCTGTTTTCATCCACCTTGCAGCTTTTCAGAGGCTAGAACAATGTCACATTCTTCGCTGTCCCCTGCTACGCCAGGTGCAGACTGGGACATTTGACAACTGCTTCATCTTTTGCTTTTGACTCGAACTCTTCTCTCCTCCTGCGTGTGCTGCGGAGCATTTAGGACACTTACGAGGGGCCCTGGCCACTATCACCAAGGTCAGAAGCAACAAACCAAAGCAGATCTGGAGATAAGCCTGACATCAGTGGGTCGGAAAGCCCGACTTTGTGCTGAAAGAGTTTTTCTAAAGGACGTGGTTCAGCACTGCCTGGGACTCTGGGTGAATCAAGGTGTGAGTTTCTGAGAGCTGATCTGTAAGGAGCTGACTGTAATCCTTCCCAGGATTTTATTGAGATTCCAAAGAGTTAGAGTTGGGTCAGTCCTCATTCCCACACTATAAATAACTGAAGTGCCTGTATAGTAGACACCCCTTATCCGTGGTTTCACTTTCCATGAGTGGCACAGGCCACTGACTGCCGTGAGGGATGGGCACACAGATTTGGGATGAGGTTTGGACTGAAAATGTAAAATTGATCAGAGAGACAGAGAGACAGTGAGAGAGAGCGACCTCATTCCCATAACTTTCATTACAGTATAATGACCCTTAAACAATGTGGGTGTGAACTGTGGAGACCCACTTAGATGTGAATGTTTTTCAACAAATATGCGCAATACTGTAAATGTATTTTCTCTTCCTTATGATTTTCCGAATAGCATTTTCTTTTCTCTAGTTTACTTTATTGTAAGAACACAGTACATAGCATACATATTGGTATATAACTACATAGAACATACACAGTACGTGTTACCAAAATGTTCACGGGACTGTTCTGGTCAGCAGTAGGCTTGAGTGGTTAAGTTTGGGGGAGTCAAGTGGTACACACAGATTTTCGACTATATGGGTGGTTGGTGCCCCTGGCTCCCATGTTCAAGAGCCAACTGTATATTGTTATCATTGTTTCATTGTGTTTTTGTTAATCTCATATTGTTTAATTTCTGAATTAAACTTTATCATAGGTAGATAGGAAAAAACGGTGTATCCTTAAGATTTAGTATTATATGCTATTTCCGACGTCCAGTGTGGGTCTTGGAACACATCCCCTGTGAATGAGGGGACCACTGTGCACTGGGAGTGGCGACATCCACTAAGTAGACAAGATGTTTACGGGTCTGTCCTACCTGCTGCTGTTAGCTATTGCCTTGAGTTTGCTGTGCGCTCGGCTCGAGGGCATGTGAGCTGAGACCGAGTCCGCGTGGCGCCCCACGCCGTCCATGGCGGCTGCAGCTCCATACACCTCCCCACACACTGCTCAGCGCGGGCAGAATACTGGGCTCAGCAGTGTCGGCATCTCAGCTTCTGAGAGCTTGTCACCTCCAGGCTGGGCTGCACCTCGTCCCTGGACTTACCCTGGACTAACAGACTCATGGTGCGGCCTTACAGAACATTGCTGCTGGTTTCCAGTTTCTAATCTGCTTCCTGTTTCTCCTTTGCATTGATCTCGTGAACAAACTTTAATTGATGGACATTTTTTTCTGACCTTCTGTCTCCTTTTTTAAAGGTGATGGACAGAATCTGTTTACAAAAGACGTGACGGTCATCGAGGGAGAAGTCGCTACCATCAGCTGCCAAGTCAATAAGAGTGACGACTCTGTGATCCAGCTGCTGAACCCCAACAGGCAGACCATTTATTTCAGGGACTTCAGGCGTAAGTTCCACCTTTACAGTATCAGATGGCAGCTCTCTTTCTCCCTGTCGTCTCGATAAAGAGATTGCCAAGCCCCCTTTTTTACACTTAATGTTAGATGCTTAAGGTTTAGTCAGTTCTTCGGAGGGGAGAAGAGACAGGCAATCATAATCTTTCCACTTAATGAAACCTTGAATGGTCCCTTTTAAAAAGTGAGGCAGTGAGGCAGTCTTACTTTGCAATGGGAATTGTTGTAATTCAAGGGGAATTGTAATCAAGTCCCAGACACTCCGCAGACACGAACAACTCCCATCGGGGAGGGCCAGGGAGAGGGATTTCTGGGGGGCGATCTTTTTGGTTTGGAGATGGACTTTGCAGGGCAGTCTGTACCTATAAGGACAACCCAGACCTGTCAGCACTGCGCCTCCAGCACCTGGAGCTGTCCAGGTGCCAGTCTTTCCCTGTGTGACGTCAGCAAGCTGACCACCTGAGACTTAATTGTGTATCACAGTGGTGGTTCAGATGGGTGTCAGGGTCAAGAACAAGAGTCGGGTGTTTTGAAATCTCTGAGAGTGTTGGTGCCTAGCCAGGTGCTGAGCATGTCCGCTCCGCCTTCCGGTTCCAGTCCCAGCTCAGGATCCCCATGCCCTGCGGAAAGTTGATGCATCTAAAGAATGTTCAAGAGGAAAAGGGGGAGTAAAAGGAGAGAAGCCAGTTTCTCGTTCTTAGAGAAAATTTTTGTCATTCTGTACTAATCGAGCTTTTGCCAAAATTAATTTAAGGACTTTAAAGGCGAATCTCTGATATAACTGAGTCACATACGCTGTCCTTACGGGGACTGTGGTTCCTGCCTCCTGGGCCAGCGGCACTGTCGGGGAGCCGCGGGCGGGGGAGGCCTCCGGGGCCCTCGCTCCGTCCTTTCTGCAGTTCCCCCTCAGAGCATATTAAATAAAACCAGCCCCAAAGATACATTCACCTTCAACTGGAGTATTTTTTATTAAGTGTTTTACGATTTTCATTTTGACTTGAAATTATTAATGAATTTTCAGTTTTCTCTCATACTTTGGAACCACTGTGTGTGTGTGTTTTGTGTTTTTTTTATCCTCACCTGAGGACATTTTTGCATTTGTCTTCATATAGAGCGGGAGGGAGAGAAGGGGGAAGAGAGAGAGAGAAACATCGATGTGAAAGGGACACATCGAGTGGCTGCCACCCACACGACCCCAACCGGGGCCGGGGACAAACTGCAACCGAGGTACATGCCCTTAGTGGGAATAGAACCCGGGTCTCTCTCTTTGGTCCGCGGGCTGACACTCTAACCGCTGAGCCAAACCGGCCAGGGCCCACTGTGTTTTTAAGGCCTCAGACTTTTAGACAATTAGGAACTCTGTCAGTCCCGTTCCCTGAATTTCCCATGTCCAAGGGCCCGTCTCTCCTTCTCTCTTCATTTTCCTCGTTTCTGAGAACATCCCACACCATTTGGGAGTAAGGGCTGAACACTGACAGCGTGGGAATGGGGGCCGAGGGATGGAGAGTGTGTGTGTGTGTGCACTCACACGTGCACCCGTGTGGATGTCTCCTTTGGACAGGGGTATTTGTCTACATGTGGTTAGTACAGAGCCCAAAATAGTAACTCAGGAAGTACAAAGGGTACTTAGCCAGCAGGTGCCAGGAGGCACTGTTCTAGTCACCTGGCACCTCCCTCACCTGGGCAAGGGAAGTGGCTGTCCCTCGTCTTAGTCACAGACCCTGTGCTCTGTTTCACAGCTTTGAAGGACAGCAGGTTTCAGCTGCTGAATTTTTCCAGCAGTGAACTCAAGGTGTCGTTGACAAATGTCTCAATTTCTGATGAAGGAAGATACTTTTGCCAGCTCTACACCGACCCCCCACAGGAGAGCTACACCACAATCACAGTCCTGGGTAAGAGACGCGCGGCTTGTCCTGGGGAGCGGGGTGGCTCTTAACCAGGTGGCTTCCGGCGGCAGGGAAGCGGTTACTGGTGACTTGAGCTGTTCAGACTTGCTGTAGGAAAACTTGCTGCCCATCTTGCTGAATTTCCTAAATAGCCTGTATTACCAAACACTCGAAGGACCGGCGTCAGCAGCCTTTAGATCCCACCTGCTCTTGGGTTTCAACCCTCGAGCTCCAGAAGCAAAGATCAGGAGAATTCGGAACCTCAAATGAATCACTCACCATGTGAAATGCAATTGCTTGTAACTCCTGGAAGTTTTTCTCCCGTGCAGGAGAGGAGACAGGCTACCGCACTGTCCGCCATGAGCAAGTCTGCCTAAGAGTTTTCCCTCCTGAGTTTCACTTCCTGTCGTATTGTCGTTCCCCTTTTCTTTAGCTTTACTTGTTGCTTTGTTTATTGCTTAGACTCTAGATTTTGCTGTGGAAATCACATCTCATGAACACATATTTTGCCACAAAATTGCAACCATTGGACATAAAAGAATAATTAAGAGCTTCTAGGGCTGATGCTAAGCAAAGGCTGTTGACAGGCTGCTGGGACACCTCTAGAGAGTTGAGCGTCTTCATTTACGATCACCAGATTGTGACTCTCAGCAAAATCCCAGCAGCCAGGTTTCCATGTGTGTGTCTTGAGGTAGTCAGCAAATATCACTGTGTTGAGGTGTTCTGAGTCCGCCCTTTCGGACGAACTTGTACCCTAGTGCATAACGCCAGCTGATCGGCCTTTGAAACGGAGTTTTCAAGGACACGCGCCGTAGCGTGAGGCAAGATCTCTGATTTGCACCTTCGGGAAGATGATGAATCAAAGTCTGTTTGAGGCGGCAGACTGGAGCTTTTCGGAGTAATGATATGAAGATTAAAGAGGAAAGATAAATATGAAGGACGGTTTTGCTTGGGGTGTGCGGCCGTATATGTATTTATGGATGTACATATTGAGCTACTGCCTCATTGCTTTATTTAAACACAGCTGTAAAAGGGAGAATGTATGTTCTATTCATTAAACTAAAACATGTCCCTAACGCGAACATACGTGTTCTTGATAGGAAGAATATGGATTTGAGAAAGTCACGTTCCGAGTACAGTGTGTCCGTACTGTTCTGCTGCGGTCTGTGTTCAGTGAGGAACACCTTTCAGGTGTTCCTGTTCATCTAACTATGGCTTTGACCCAGCTAGACCTGCATGGAGAGGAAGCATGGAAGGTTTTGCTGGGATGACTGTTGCGGTATTTTGAAAACGTACCAAAATCATAAGCATGCATTTGAGTTTTTCTGCCCATCGACTTGTACAGGAGTGTTGGAAAACACTGCTTATTGGGGTAAATCATTAGCTGCATAGACGTCAGCTTCACCACCCACCTGTTGACCTACCATCGTTGATGGCTTTTCCACACAAGTGACAGCCATGAAGTTGAATATACTTAAGGGATTTTGAACTTCCAGAATGTTTTGTTACATATACCTTTAAGTATGGATATCTTTATTTCAGAGAAAGAAATGGTGATGACAGATCAGTCATCTGCCTAGTTCCAAAGCGCAGTGAGAATCAACCGTCATAGACTTTGAAACAGACCTTAGTCTCTGTCTCATAACCTTTTCGTCTTCTCATCGAGGTTACTTTCAATGAAATCCTGAAACCTGCTGTTTCAATTTTTTTCCCCTGAAGGCACATGCCTTTTGTTTTCAGGAATGTATCTGGCTATTGGCCAGCGGTTACTGCCCGCGGTTCCCAGTGTCGGCTCCTCGTGTCCTCAGACCCACTGTGCTTGGGCGTCAGCGTGCCAGCCCAGACTCTGAGGGGCATCACACCTGCCGTGCTTTGGGAGGTCTGATTGTTCTAGAAGTGATCAGTTCTTGCCTATATTGTATAGAAGCATTAATTTAAATGTACTTGAAAGTAATACTAGATACTTACTCTTTGTGCAGGTGTTATGCATTTATTTAATATTCTTTCTTTTGCATCTAATGTAGGATTTCTTGATGGAGTAAAATTATTGTCATCAGTGTTTGAGTCTTGCATATTCCAAAATCGGACAATTTCTATGGATATGCATCTATTCAAGCCTTTCTCCTAAGGTTTAGAATTTTCAGATACTGTAATGAAAGAAGAATGATACATTGCATCTTCGTGTCTATCCACAGTTCTCTGGGAAGGACTCTGTATGTACCTACACAGCTGTCCTGCTTCTCGATAGGCTGAAGATGCTCATTGTAGCATGTGTCGTTTCGTTGTTTGAAGCATCAGCTAAAAATGCAGCACGACTGTAAGACGTAGAGATGGGTATGTGTTAGTTGCTATGATGTTTGTGTTCTTACCGACGTGAAACTGAAACTCTGCTGTGGTCCTGTGCACGCGTTTCTCCCGTCCGCGGTGCGGGACTCGGCACGGCTGCCCGTCGGAGATGCGGGAGAAAACACACACTCTGAGATTGCTCCAGTTACTGAGAATAGTAGCTGATGTTATTGCACCCCTGTCCTTCCAAGATGAGTGTTCACTCTTCAGATTCAGGAATAGGAGAAACTGATCATTTTAAAGGGTCTTAGAGTGAGATTCCACTTACTAATCAGCTTTAATGCTGCCGGTGTTTTTAACATTGTGGGCAGAATGTTGCTATCTGGCTCTCTTCTCGATTGGAGGTGAGCTAAGGAGAACCTTGACATTTCGTTGCTGTTTTCTAGTATTTCCTTCCACGGGGTTTGTACCCCGGTTTCCATCAAACGCACTTCCTTGGATAAGTCTTTGCTTATTCTCAGTAACGGCCACAGGCGGTTTACGCTAAACGTGGCTGTAGTGGGCCATGTATAAGTGTATTCTCTGGTTCGTGGCAGTTTTCATTTATTTTCTACAAATAGATTTTTATTCCTTACTAACCTCTTCTGTATTAGGCTAAGTGTCGTGTAGTTATAGGGAAAATAAGGTAGAATTAATTAGACCAAAGTAAACTTCAAGATTTTCTTGTTCATCCCCCTTTTTTTTTAGAAAGATATACCTAAATCACTTCATTCATTTGCATTTTCCAAAGCTTTTATGCTCTTAAAAAATAAAAATAAAAAACTGAGCCCTGGCCAGCAAGCTGGAGCATTGTCCTAGACACCAAAGGTTACAGATTGAGTCCTGGTCAGGGCACTTTGGAAGGTGCCCGGTCCATGTTCCTTTCTCTCGTCAATAAGCATATCCTCGGGTGAGGAGTAACAACAACAAAAATGAGAGAAATCAACTTTTTATACCTGATATCAATTTAAGTCATTGGGACTCATACTGTCAAATTTTATTTTATATTTGGAAACCAAACAACTCCTACTGGACTTGACTGTTTCTTCTTATCATCTTAGTAAACATCAGAAATACTGGTCACAGTTTTGAGAAAACTATTTATGGACTTGGAAAAAAAATGTTTAACTACTTCCCAGGATGCTCTTCTGCACAAGAAATAAGTCCTTTCTTTTTCTACGTTGGTCGTAATTGCCCGCACTTTTGAAGTTTCCCACATGCTCACCTATGCCACAAATTCTAAGATGACCTCGGCTGTTCAGGAAGATAATTCCAGGAATTAGCACTGTTACGGGAATCACCATGAAGGGTTAAGAAACTGTAGAGTATGATGGACCCTTGAAAGACACGGGCTTAGGGGCACCAACCCCCGCACGGTCAAAAAAACATATACAGTATAACGTTTGATTACCCCAGACTTAACTGCTAATAGCCTACTGTTGACCGATAACACAAACAGTTCATTAACACATATTTTATGTTATATGTATTATATATACTGTGTTCTTACAATAAAGTGAGCTAGAGAAAATATATTTGCAGTATCTATTGAAAAAAAACTGCAGTAAGTGGACCCACACAATTCAAACTTGTGATGTTCAAGAGTCAACTGAACTCTGCTGCCAAAAAGGAGGGTTAACCCGGAAAATACTAAATAGCAGGTGATCCAGGTAGGGACCTGTTTGCTGCCGGTCTCTCGGTCACCCCCCGAGTCTGAGACGGTCAGCTTTCCTCCGGCCCGACTTCTGTCCACGCCTTTCCAGTTCCGTACTCTGGGCCAGCAGAGTAGCGATAGTGGGGAGAGAGCACGCACCATCTTTATGACCATTGTCATCTCGTGTAGAGAATAAACACTTCCGTCACGACGACATCCACTGCAGGTGAATAGCTCGTGGGGTGATGAGAAATGCTAGTGTCTTCACGCTCAGCATGAAAAAAGGAGAGAATGAAGGAAAAATACCCAGCAGCACACAGAAAACAGTATCTGACAAAGACTGTGTTCGAGACTCCGTGCCGTGGAGACACGCCGGAGCTCCACGCTGGAACTGCCCCCAGGATCTGTTCCCATCGAGAAGATCCCGAGGTCACAGCGCAGTGACAGCCGCAGTGCATTCCCCCAGAGCTGCGCCTGCGGGCCGGACCCTGCCTGCTCCGTTCTGGAGTGTTTTCCAGGGGCGCGAGCTTCATGCGTTAGAGGCGCTTCGGCTGTTTGCCCTTTGTCATGTCCTGAGGGACCCCGCCGCCTCCACTGTCCTGGACCCGGCTTGAGGTTCCCTCACCTGGCCGGTGTCCCACCAGTTACACTTCTCAACGACGTCTTCCACCGGGAATCGTTGCTTATGTCCACGTCAGAAATTATTTTTATTGCTTTGTTTTTATTTTTGCCTAGATATTGTTTGACTTTCATTTCTGCATTTGTAGGGAAGACATTCTGTTGTGTATTTTTACCTCTTTAGTTGTTTCATTTTTATCATCTTTTTTTTTTTTAAGATTTTTAAAATTGATTTGAGAGTGAGCGAGCGAGAGAAACATCAGTGAGAGAGCGCAGCCTGGATTGCTGCCCCACCCACCCCAGGAACCAAACCAGCAGCCTCGGGGTGCACCGCGATGCCCAGACAACTGAACAGTGTGGCAGAGCCTTTCCATCTTTTATTCTGTTCCCCCTAGTCCACCAAGATCTCATTATCATTAGACTTAGACGACCTTTTCAATATCCCTATTATACTGCACTCAGAGTCCAGTAGTAGTTGTTGGTCCTACACTGGTAGTCTCTCCGTACCCTACCACCCGGCGACGTGCGGTGACAGTCTGCAGCCTCGCCGACTGTCGTCCAGCAAGGATGCACCGCGTTGAGAAGCAGCCGCCACAGCTGTCCCGTCCGCCTGCACCTGCCTCCCGATGGCCCCTCCCAGCTGGACAGCAGACTCTTCCGCTTACTGGCCCTTCAGGTGTAGGGGAGGGAGGCTCTTTCTCAGGTCCGACTACCCGTTTCCAGCCGCGTCCCTCTAGCAGCGCCCCCGATTAAGCCGCTGTGCTCTCTCTCACGGGTCCCAGAGGCCTGCTTCTCCAGGGGGCCCTCAGCACACCCTCGTGATGCCACCGAACTTCCCTCTCGGGCGTCTCGGCGGCTACTCTCACCGCTCTGACTCGGCGTGAACGTCTTCCTGGGGCAGGATTTTCACAGTGGGCTGGAGCAGTTAGACACCCCAAGTACGTGCTTTCATCCCTGATTTTTTGAAGCAGTATCAGATGTCTTATTCAACTGGATCATCAGGGTGGCATGTTTATACATGTTCCATTTCTTGTTTCTCTTCCGAGTTGAGAAACGTATTAATCGCAAGTCCCGGAACCGTCTTTGCTTAGTCCTGGTGCTCAGGGCGCGTCTCTTGGACTCCCTCTGTTGAGTTCCGTGTTCTGACTGACTTTTATGTCAAGAAGTTCGCACCTTATATGAAGTTCCACTTGTAACTCAGTTGCATCACAGATAACATGCTTTCTTCACTGTCATTATCATCCGACATACTCTTGGTTTGATATACAGAAGTTTAGCCCCAAAATATTTTATTTTATTATTTTATTACATATATGTTTAACCTACTTAGAGAAGGGTGGTTTTCATTCTGACACACAAAACTACTTGCAGCCAGTTAACTGTCCTTTTAACCTTTGATTTCCTCAATCTGGAGCATTTGCTTTCAGAATATTGAGAGTTACTGCAAATTCACTGGCATTCCCTATTTTCTTCATAGCGGGAGGATTTGATTACGGTGTGTCCCTGGGAGGTCATGGTTATATTCTGGGCCCCTGTGAGAGATTTTAATTAGTGGAGCTGGTTCTGAGGCACGTTGCTCTGTGTATGTTTGTGGTGAGTGATTCTTTAAGGGGCTCCATGTTTCTGATCTTTGCTGGTGGACTGTAGAAACTTTCATATGAAGATTAAAATCCAAAGGTTGAGTTCAAGGAGAAATATTTCTTTCAGAGACTTCAGGTAAGGATGATAACTTGAATTGTGTGTACTCCTCTGACCTTCATATCTACTTCTGCTCAATTTTGTAATGACTGATACTTAACTAATCTAATGCTTATATTGTTATAACTTGGTCACTGGTAACTTATGAGTGGGAGACTGGTCATTTGTAAGACACTTTCGGACAGAAATTCTGAACTGAGTGATTGTGCATAATTCTTGATTTCACGATGACTTTGAATTTCTCTTCTCCCTCTCTGGTGGCTGTTGCTTTTAAATTGCCATCAGGAATGTCCAGAATTTGCCTCTTATTTTGATACCAATGGTGCTAGTTTCTAAAGAAGAAAAAAATACGTGTAGAAGTCGGTCTGTGTTTCAAACCACGCGTGTTTAATTTGCAGTCCCCCCTCGCAACCTGATGATCGATATCCAGAAAGACACGGCCGTGGAGGGCGAGGAGATCGAAGTGAACTGCACCGCCATGGCCAGCAAGCCAGCCACGACCATCCGGTGGTTCAAAGGCAGCAAGGAGCTCAAAGGTGGGGCCGGCTGCCTGTGCTGGGGGGTCCGCACCGGTCCCCGCAGGCGTGCCTTGGTGGGAATGAAAGACACATGCGACCCGGGCCCCGAAACAGAAACTTTCCTGTAGATGTGGGTGTCATCACTTACTAAACACGTCGGAGGCCAAAGCAGAACCTCGTGGTACAGTTCACGGCCTCGTGCTGTGGTTGGAGGGTGTTGGTGGCACGAGTCACCTGAACTGGACCTCCTGTTAGAGTTTCCCCTGAGCTCTGGCTGTCCGTATTGTTCCCGCGGTTCTCATTGTTTTTACCCTACGACTCAGCATGGGTCAGAACCCCAAATTCTCCTGTTCCATTTAAAAAATGCATCACAGTCTTCACCAAGGTGACTCCATCGTCCTGAGGTCCCCCGCACTGGCGGCGTGCTGCCCTGCCACCGTGCATGCGGCGCGGACTGCCGGTCTCATCCTCACTGTGAATGTGCAGACACCACCTGTCCCGTGAGACCTGCGATTCGACGGCCCCCTTGCCCAGCTTGTGCTTTTGCGCCGTTTCTGAGGTGGCGGCCCCACGGGCAGCCCCTGAGACGTGCTCCCGCTGCGTCCCCAGGGCAAGGCCGCTCCAGGCTCGATTCCTGGATCCCCGGGCATCTGCCCCTCACCCGCTGCATTGCCTGAGCTACAGCCCTGCCCCATCAGCCTTTCTCCAGGTGATCTAAGTCCTCACGGTCAGCATTCGGTTCCCTCCTTCTCCGGAGGTCGCCTTGCAGATAGCAGCCAACACGAAGGACTCAGGCGACTGCTCTGCCCCTCTGACACATGCTCGCTGTGTGCCTCGGTCTCCCTGGTGTGGGGGCACTGACGCAGCACGTGGCTCTCACAACGACGGAGCCAGTGAATGTTTGTAACACCTGTAGCTCCTCTCGGCCCGAGTAAATGCCCTGTGTGTATGTGCTGCTTAAATAAATGAAGGCTATCAGGAAGCAAAGTCAGGCCTAGCAAGAGGATATAATATTCTGTATCTAGAAACAGATAACAGCTTAAATTTCAAAAAGCTTGCTCTGGTTTAATCTCCTGTTTCCTGGGTGTAGCTTTGAAGGAGAAAGTTTCTCATTTCCTCTCGTCTTCTCTGTCTGAGTGAATAGAGCCATTAAGTGCACTGATAAGCACAAAACATTAAAAGAAACTTAATGGTGCGTCTTGTCCCAGGGAGGGCCTATCCGTGGGTCCGGGAGCCGCCCCCTCCTTTTCTGGGTGCGCTTGGACGTGTCTCCCTCCGACCAGAAGCCCGCAGCTCACTTTGCTGCACCCACCGCATTCTTTGTGGTCTTCCGAAAGTTTCAGAGTAAACATTCCAATTACAATTTCAAGTAGGCAAATCCACTTTGTTACTTTCTTGCTTAATTGATGCTAGTGCAGGTGGAGTAGGGGGTGGTTATCTCTCTTCTGATTAAGTTACTGAGGGGCTTTGGCTGAGGTCCTGGAATTTCTAAACCAAATGACAGCCTCGGAGACAGTTCAGTTCAGCTGATCACGATCATGATCGCGGGTGGAAAGCTCCGGTCTCCTTTCCCTGAACGCCTTGAGCAGTCGGCTGTCAGAAAGGTTCAACTTTCAGCTGCCTTTTGTGGGAGGTTTGAAGATAGCAGAACATATGGACTATAATTAGATAAAAGTGGTATATATTACGTACGGTTGAAATATATCTTAAATTCCACCCTGCAAGGTGGACATGTAGGAAATTGTCATTTTCTCAGTCATCTACCCACATAGTATCCTTCCCCCAGGTGACATCCATCATCGTAGTCAGCGTCACGATGTTGGGGCAGGGGGCGGGGGAGGGCATAAAACTGGGTGATGGAAGGGCACTGACCTCCCGCTTGTGTGGTATACTTTGTCTCCCCAGGCAAATCGGAGGTGGAAGAGTGGTCAGACATGTACACAGTGACGAGTCAGCTGATGCTGAAGGTGCACAAGGAGGACGATGGGGTCCCAGTGATCTGTCAGGTGGAGCACCCCGCCGTCACCGGAAACTTGCAGACCCAGCGGTACCTGGAAGTACAGTGTGAGTAGCTGTCTTAGGCCATTCTGGCTGCTGTAACAAAAGCACAGGCTGGGCAGCTGGGAGCTGATCAACAGCAGGAATGTGTCCCTCACGTCCCGGAGGCTGGGAAGTCCCCGGTCAGCGCGCCAGCCCGGTGGCGGAGTGAGAGCCCTCTCCCCGGTGCGCAGCCGCTCCTCCTCGTGTCCCCACGTGGCCAAGGGGCTGATGCTCTCCACGGAACCTCTTCTCTCCGGCACACATACCCTCATGGGGCTCCACCCTCATGACCTAGGCGCCTCCCCAAAGCTCCACCTTCTCATACTAGTACACAGGGCATTGGGGTTTCAACATGTGGATTTTGGGGGACACAAACATTCAAACCATAGCAGTACCCACGTATTCTACTCTGAGGGCACAGCGTAACAGTTGCTTAAAACATTCAGAAGCCATTTATTGAATACATATGTTTTTAGATAGTATATATAGAATTTTTATCTTGTTGTCTTGGTAGAAAAATAAGCAAAGGATTACTTTACTGAAACGCTGCCATATTACTGAGTGCCAATGAGGATTTTGAAAATACTAGATTTAACCTAGATTTAAAGCTTTAAAATGATTCCAATCTGCTCTAGCACATGAGCTAGTTAAATTTTGTGAATATTGACGATAATCATTTCTGTGTCAACTTCAAAATCGAGTGCAATCCCCAACCCCCCTTTATTAACTCCATCATGAGTACTGAGTTTCTCTAGAAGAGATTTTGTTTGCATCCTATATCAGCAGCTTGTTTTAAGTCACATGCTGTTTTCCACTTTCAGCTCGCATACCGGTGGTTTAAAGGGGGACTCGGGGCCAGCGCAGAGTCCCACGGGCTTCACCCGTAAAAGCCATATTGTGGTGAGTGAGGGCACCTCCTCACTGCGCCCTTCATCCCCCCTTCTGGGCGCTCCTGCTTGTGGAAAAGATCTCTCTTTTCGGCACAAAACCGTCCTTGCACCAAGCTTGTGTCTGAGCAGCTCCTTCTCACTTTCCATCAAGAGGTGCCTGTAACTTGGCCTCTGATGAGTCCCGGGGACACTTGAGTGTGCACAGAGAAAAGGCACACACGTCTGGTCGGATAGCAGGGGCGGGTGTCTAACAAAGGAAAGCATTGCCCTCTGAATTCTTGTGTTTTAGGGCTGCTGAAATATTACCACAAACCTGTGGCTTAAAGTAGCAGAAATGGCCTGGCTGGTGTGGCTCAGTGGTTGAGCGTCGACCCTGCACCCAGAGGTCACTGGTTCGATTCCTGCTCAGGGCACATGCCCAGGTTATGGGCCAAATCCCCAGTGGGGGCATGCAGGAGGTGGCCAATCGATGTCCTCTCTCATCGATATTTCTGTCTCTCTCTCTACCTCTCCTTTCCTCTCTCTCTAAAATCAATACAGAAAAAGTAAATTAGCAGAAATGCATTGTCTCACAGTCTGGGCAACACAAGGTGTCCAGGTGTCTGCAGGGCCGACTCCCTCTGAAGGCTCGGCGGGAGGAGCCTTCCTCGCCTGCTCTGGTTTCTAGTGGCCCCGGCATCCTCGGACTGTGGCCTCATCGCTCTAATCTGTCTCCATCTGGACACGGCCTTCTCCTTCCTGTTTGTCTCCTATATAGACACTTGTCATTGGATTTAGGGCCCACCCAGATAAATCCAAAACGTTCTTATTTTAAGATCCTTAACGCAGTTACAACTACAAAGACCCCTTTTCCAAATAAGGCCACAGTCACGGGTTCCAGGGTTAGGAGGTGGGCACATCTTTTGGGGGCCACCATTCATCCTGCTACAGTATTCATCGTGTTTAAGTTGAGCAAAGCAAGGGATCGGCAGCGTTGCAAAAGTTCCTTCTAAGAGACCATCATCCCGTTCCAAGCTTTTCCTACTCTGTGAGCTTGGCTCAATTTAACATTACATAATGCAGGTTTTTCTTGTTAATTCATTTCATCTCCTTCATTATGTAGCTTCATTATGGGCATCATGCTTATAATTTTCATATCACTGAAACTATTGTGGTGTAATGTCCCTATAATGGGAAAACATAAATGATCAGATATTATCTAAATTGGCAGATAGTAGATTTCTTTTGACTTTGTTAATATGTAATTCATTTAAGCAAACTTAATATCCATTAAGTTCCCTTGTAGGGGCCCATTAGTTTTAATAATACATTAGCTCCTTTGTGAGACCTGAGTAGATACTCACCCAGTTCCCACCCCCAAACTCTTGACTAGCTTCCCAGAGTGTCTTCTGAATAGAACATAACCCACCTACAAAATTACACTCACTCCCAAATGCAGAATATTCCAAGCACGCCACCTCCGACCCCTTGGAAGACTTGGTATTGCTCTCGGTGAGCGTGTCTTCCTGCCTCTGTAGATTCGAGTGCCACCTGTCCCCTAGGGAAAGGAGTACAGCCCCACCTGCAAGTCCGTTCTGCTTCGGCCCCACGTGCCGCCGGCCCCTCTCCGCAGGACGCGCCTCTGAAAGGGAAGGTGCACCTGCTACTTCCAACTCTAACCCGGCGTCTTTCTGTGGGAGGCTGTTCTTTTATACCCCCCCCCCCCGAAGCACGCAGCCATTTTGTCCTTGATACTTCATATTTTGGAATGTTTGTAAAGAAAAAAGTCTTTTTGCAAAAAAGAAGGTTAGGAATCACTAAGCATTCTATTAGTCTGAATGGAACGTAGCGCATCTGGTAGCGCATCCTAAGTAAGACTCTCTGCTGAGCAAGTCACCTGTCAGCCACTCCTGGAGCACAGCCGAGCCTTTGCTGAGTCCGCCAGGGCTTCCTGAAGTTGCTCCTGCCAACACAGGGGGGATTCTCTGTGTCGGTTCCCGCCGGCTCTCTGCTGACACACGTGCACCCCCAGAAGCCGCCTGCCTCCAAAGCCGGTGGCGCTCCGTCGCGCACCAAAGCTTTGTCGGCCTCGGGCGGCAGGGGTGGTCGACTCCACCCCCACAGGCACCCTGGTCCTCTCCGCGACAACCATGCGTGTCTTCACGGCCGTGGGAGAAGAAGAGGTACTTTCACGCAGGAGGTTCAGTAGCCAGTCTGCAGGGACGTTGAATTATTTTGGCTACCCTGTGAGGAGTAACATTAGACCTTTTTTTTTTTATTATTAATTAGCTCAAACTTTTGGAGTCAGCAGTTCTTAACCTTTTGGGGATCATAGCCTCTTCAAAAACCCTTTGATAGCTGTGGATCCGGAAAAGGTGAACAGAATCACATATTCACGACATTTTACTCATAATTTAAGAAGTCTGCTGACCTTGAAGTTGAAGATGTTTCCCAACTTCAGTTATTTGAGAGCCACTTTGACGTTTTTACCATAGCAACAGGTTATCTGTATTCTTATCCCTTTTAGAACTTACCCCTAAAGTCACTTTACTGCTTTAGCCTACTCAAGACCTATGTAAAACATCTAAATTATGAGTTTTACTTGCTGTGTACATCTATTAAATATTAGTTAAAAATTGATACATAGACGATTTAAAATAAATATAGAACTGTTAGGTTTTAAATATTTTTTCCTTTGCCACCTAAAAAGATTTCTAATATTTTCAGTGATAAATATCACCTAAGCACCAGGAAGCACTGAGTTCATCCTTGAACCTCAGATTAAGAATTGCTCCGCCCCGGGTTCCCGGGTAGGATTAGGGTTAAGTTACGGGGCTCAGCCTGGCCCCTTTGTTTTCTAAGAGGGTATGAACAGGGTTAAATGACACGTAATGGATTTGAATTCTATATAAATTATATCCCCTAAACATGTTTTTAAAGGAAATGAAATCATGAAAATCCACATTGTATGCCATCAGATGTCTTACTTTAAAAGTGACAGGCAGAGGCGGAGAGGTAAAATGAGTCGGGCTGCCGTACCCTGTAGAAGACAAGGCTCCAGTTACCGCTCACAACTGCTTTTGTCTTGTAGATTTAAGTCCTAATTAATTGAACACAGAATTTCGCAGTGTTTTTCGTCAGGACCCTTTATTTGTGGTACCAGGAGAAATTGTTGTGCCCAATTATGTGAAAAATCAGCCAGATGTGTATGCTGTCATACTCCTAATACTCCTTAAATTTTGGCGAGTACAGATATTAATTGCGTAGTAGGCATTGAAGTGATTAACATCAGTGTAATTTATCATCTTGAGATTTCTGAACATAAATAAATGAGTTGTTTTGTTCAGCAAGGTGTTGACCCCTTCAGAATTAGTGAATTAAAGCCCCCCTCCCCCCTTTTTATTATAACTATGAAAGCACCACAGCTAGCCAAGTGTTCAGTTATTTGATTTTCTGGGGCATTAGCTGCTCTTGTTTGTGACATTTCCCTGTTGGGTGCTCGTTTGCAAGCTCATTAATAAGGTTTTCTCACAGGAACGTTGCTGGGAACGAGCACCATCCAGTAGGGCCCTTAGTCTTAAAGCTTTGGTTCTGAGACTCGGCGAGGATAGGCCGCAGCACGCAGCTAAATGTTTCAAACAAAATAGTTACGCTTGCAAGCTGCAACGCAAGCTCTCTGTTAGGCAGGAAACAGTTTGGCTTTTGAGTGCTCGGAGCTATATGACCCTGAATTCTTTCGGTGCGTTTTTTTCCTTCCAAATGTCTAGGTGCGTAGCGTTGCTTGAATTTACAACACGGTTAATTATAGCGGAGTGTGAGACAACTGTAACCAGTTAGTAGAGCGTCAGATCCGAGGGAGCTTACTCGTGTCAAATGAAACCCTGTTTAAGGGAGAGCAGTTCACTGTCTGTGCGTTAAAAGAAAACTGTCTAAACAGCTTCAAGGTGGCAACGTGGAGCCCGTAAGCTGGGAACAGAAAGGACAGCGGTGACCCTCAGCGTGGAGGTCAGATCGCCGTGCAAGGGCGGGAAGCTGGCTGTGGACGGAGGGGAGCCCGAGGCCCTCGAACTGCTGCTTGTCGGTTGCTCCCTCCCATCCCAGCCTTTGAAGTGTGCTGGAGAGCTCATTCTGCGAGGGTTTGTGTGTGTGCATATT